ACAGTTTCACTAATCTCCATTCTCCTTCCTCAGTCCCTCTCCAAGAGTAATTGGGTCATCTACAAACCCTTTGAACCACCAAATAACTTCCCCTACCAAAAACACCGCAACTGTCTTATTCTCCCCAATCTTCACAGCATCATTTCCTTTGATTCATACTTCCTCGAACAGAAAACTCTTGGCTTCAATTCTTTGGAACCTTCTCCAACCCGTTCTCCAAAAACTTCTACCATGCAAGGGTAGAAACTTTTGCATAGTTATTGTCTCTGTGTGGCAAGGACTCTTGTCTCTTATAACCATCTACACCTAGATTCTTAACTCCAACATATTTCCTCTATTTTTTACAATAGTCTCCAATTCAGCCTTAAAATCAAATCTTTTTTTCACTCTCCTCGAATAAACCCCTTCCCTCCTCTCTCTCTCTCTCCAACTCATCTAGCATCTCTATCTAATTCTAAATTCTGTTTTCTTTTTTCTCATGTTCTTCTCCAATAGATTGACAATTAGGCATCTCCTCTATTCTCCAACGAGGTAATGCCCAGATTTGCTGATCTTATACTGCCCAACTCCACACCCACCTTACCTATAACAATCTCTTGAATCTCAACCTTGTRCTACCTCTTTTCTAAAACCACCATCACATCACTTTTGCCATGCCCACTTGCCAACATATATGGATTTTCTAAAGCCATCATGCTCACATATATGGATTTTCTGCACTTCCCAAAATTTTGATTCATGTTATAGGATCATTCATTCAATTGGATTGATGTATGCCATTACTATGGTCCCAAAGCACATTTGCAGCAATAAAATCTGAATGAAAAAATCATCTTCAACATATAAAATTAATTCCTTGGATCACCAAACTGAATAAAGATTTTTGTTCTATATTGAATCCCATAACCATCTAGCATCCCATGCAGAGCATATAACACCTACATGGAATTCCGTCTTGTAAGTCTCTAAATTTAACAACCTGGGCAAGAATACACTTCCTAAGATATTTGAGTTGCTCTTGGTAAGTCTCTACATAAGATATAAAATAAGACAAACCATTATTTACACAATACCTGAGAATCATCACCACAGTTTCATCTATCCGCTTGGATCAGTTAAACAAATCTTGTTCCAACATTTCATTCCATGTAGGGCCCTTTCTTCCACATTGAAACATGATTCCAGACTTAATTTCTTTGCCTAAATACATACTATGTTCAGGCCTTCCCTCTGTCCCTTTTATAGACTTCTGCAAGAGAGCTCTGCCCCTGACTGGTATTACCACCACCAGCCCACATGAACATAGTCAAACCACCAAGTTTCTGTTTTTCTTTTTTTTTTTTTTCTTTTTTGATCAATAATAGCATTTCATTAAGGGGGGCGTTCTTTTTTTGGATTTTGAGAGGGGGGAAAGTTGGTCAATGGGATTTTGGTTCCCATTGACCAAGAATCCCATGTTCTTTTTTCAGATTTATGTGGGGACCAGGGAAAGTTTATTTTCCTGGGTATCACTTACCCGGGTAAGTGACACCCATCTCCTAGGTGGGTAAATAACTTTCCCACCTAGGGGGAAAGTTGCCAACACTTGAATGGGACAAAAATGCCCTTTTTAATAATAGATTTTTATGGCTAAAATGGTCATTACCTTATTTATATGAGAAATAAAAGAACATAGGTAAATGCACTTACCTGGATAAGTGTTTCCTAGGGAAAACTTACCCAAGTAACTGCATTTACCCAGGTAAGTAACTTACCGAAAAGCGAACGGGGCCTAAATTAGAGAAGAATTACACAACAAAGGGGTAACCTTTCTTACCTCTCCTCGCTATAATAATAAGTATGGTACAAATTAAAATTGTGCCAAAAAAACATTTAATTTCTTCCCAACCCTTGTTTTGCAAGAACATCAGCAAAAGCATTAGCAGTCCCTTCAACCCAGCTGAATTTCACTTCAATGTTTCATATCAACCACTTAAGTTTCTTCCTCTCACCATTGAAGATACAAAAGCCACTTCCTCCCTCTTCCAACCAGTCCGCTACCAGCTTTGAATCTCCTTCTATAATCAGCATGCTCACATTCATATCCTTTGCCTTTTGCACACCTTCCACAACAGCCAGAACTTCAGCTCTTAATTAGTCTCCCACACCAATTGGACCTGAAAATAACCCGATAACCTTTCCTTCCTTATTCCTAACACACCACCAATACCAAAAGGACCTAGGTTGCGCTACTCCCATCAACATTAAGCTTGACAAAATCATTATCTGGTGGAGTCCACAGAGGTCTTACATCAGTCTTATGACAATCTGAGCTAAGTACTTCCTTCCAATTATTCATAATATCAACTTAAGAGAAATCAGCAAAAAATCCAGTCTTCACCCGATGAACCACTCTAATCAAAATGGTCTCAATTATCCCCTCTTTACTTCTTTACTTATTGGAAAAAATTCTGGGCTTTCATTCTTCCCATATGGTCCAGCTCACCACAGCTCTTACACATCTCCACAACACTCTTCCTCTCTTTTTTTTTCGATAAATGAAGTGAATATTATATATTTATTATGGAAAAAAATGGTGTCACCCGGACTCGACAACATTCTTCCTCTCTTCTTAGGACACCTAAAGAAAGTAGAGGTAAACAGGCTCTGCACATTAGGTGGGTGAGTCCACCTACACCCAAACAAAGAGAAATACCACTCCCAAACAGAATTAACCAGCAGGAGATTAATAGATGGAAGCAAATTTCTCCATTAGACTTACAGAGAACACACTAGTGTAGAGATAAGCTCCAATTGGGTCTTTTCATTTGGAATAGATCACAAGTATTTATTCTTTCCAGGAAGGCCTTCCAACAAAAGCCCACAATTCTTGGAGGGATAGGTTTACACCAAACCTCCTTAATAGGAAACAGAGAGCCCAAGCTATTAGAGGGTTGGATTGGAGGAGCCTTAAAGGAGAAACAAGAGAAAACACCAGAGGGAGAAAGGGTCCGACTGTTTGTGATGAAAGGGTCCAAAAAAAACCCATCTAGGAGCTGAAGCAAGGCCAAAACATCATTAAGTAAGCTCTAACCCTTACACCCCTTCTCAATCCCAAATCCCAATCAAATCCAAAACTTGAACTTGAAGGGACGAGGAAAGTAGAGACAGGCTCATCTTTGTATCTCGAGAGGGCAAACAAAGAAGGAAACTTATCTTTCAAAGGAAGGCTCCCCACCCAAACTTGTTCCCAGAATTTTATATCAATTCCAGAACAGAGGTCATACCTGACAAAGGGTAAGAACAACAGCAATACAACATGGATAGCCTTCCAGGGAGAGGCACAAATATCCCTACAGTGTACACCAGCATCACAACCATCAGCTGCAAGCCCATGAATGCTTACCACCACTTTAGCCCAGAGTTTATCTCTATCCATAGGTAATCTCCGCGGCCACTTACCCAATAAAGCCACATTCCTTCGCAGTAAATTACCTAGTCCTAGGCAACCAAATTCCTTACTCCTACAAACCACTTACCAACTAACTCTATGATCCTTTTTATCGTCCCCTAGCTCCCACAAGAAGTCCATCATCTTTTCCAATTTTCTCCCAACACTCACTCGCATCTTGAACACTGACATGAAGTAAATAGGCAGATTTGCTAATGTAGCCATTATTAATGTGATCCTTCCTCCCAAAGATAGATAGCTCTTCTTCCAAGTACCAAGATTTAGCAAATCTTTCAACAATAGGGTCCCAAAAGCTACTCTTTCTACGATTATTAGCAAACCTTATCATAATATCATAAGGTTACCAATCTTTCATCAAAAACATAAGGTTACAATTCACCAATTCAACATGCTTATCTGATCAGGACTCATGCAACACGAGTTGTAACAGTTCAATGTTAGCAAACAACATGATGTAGCCATATCTTTCTATCTATCCACACTTGGGAGAACTACAACATAAACTCATGAACATTTTTTTCTGATTTTGCTCTTCGTATTGTCATTCAGTTCTGCCATTATTAGTTACTTTCCGTTTCCTTTGCATGTCCCTTGCTGACATGGTAAGTTACCATATAAGTGTTCTTCCCCTTTTGATCAGAGTATTAAAGCATTCTTCCCTCAAAAAAGCAAAACCTTTCTTTTTCCCTTTACTAGATCATAGAGAATCAATAAGCAAAAGAAAAGAGTACTTCTGGGTTATGGAAGAAGGTTTCAACAAATTCCAATTTACATTTTTTTTTTGTGAGAACTGTAATGTAAAGTAATCCATTAAATCAAGAAGCCAACAAAAACTCCTCTACAATGACAAACCGAACAGAGGATATACAATTCTGCTCCCTACAGCCCAATGCCCAATAACAATTAACTTTTCCTTACAAAAAGAAATTCCAAATCAAAGACAGAACTAGGATGTCTATTTCTTTCACTCCACACAGCCCATAAACTGCCGAGGGAAGTATGCTCCATGCTACCTTTCCAGCTCTACTTAAACCTTCTAGATGCCATGCCTCAACGAGACCCTTCAATTCAGCTAGGAAGCACCATTTTACATCAAAAAAACCTACCAGACTTAACCAGATCCAACGAGTATATTTGCATTGAATCAGTAAACGGCTAGATGACTCCACATAACCATTACATAAAGGGCAAGCCAAATCTGCCACCTGTAGACCTCTTCTGACTAGATTCTGCTTTGTTAGGATCTTGTCCAGCACTGCTGACCAGAGAGTGTTTTACTCATTTGTTGCATATAGGTACCTAGGGCTGTCAGTTGGACTGGATTTGGTCCAATCCAATCCAGTCCGATATTGGTCCATTTACAAATGGACCGGACCAAATCCAGTCCAAACCCAATACAAACCGGATCCAATCCAGTCCAATTGAAATGCAAATGGACCAAATTGGACCCAATCTGGTCCAAATTAAATGAAGCTTTATAAATGAAACATGGATGTTGTTTAAAATTTACAGATTTACAGTCCAAACCAGATTGAAATGCAACGCTTCATTCCATATTAAGAGTTTGTTAATATAATCTTTTAGAATTTAATTCTTCAATACTAACACACATTAAAAAAAAAAAAAAAAAAAAACAAACAAACAAAAGATGAACCAAATTCCAACCATCTTGACAAGTTCTTAACCAAAGAATACACAAGAACTACTGCATACTGTTCTTATGCAGGTTATTACTTATCAATTGAATCCAAACAGATTCTTCTTTCTATTTCCTGCTTCTTGAGGAGCCACTAGCCAGGTACACTCCCCATGATGAACACCCCAAATAATGTGAGCACTCTGTGTGGGTGTATGGACACACCCCAAATGCTTTTCTCCTGAAATTTGCCGATTCTCTGAGAAACCATAGTCCTGAAACAAAAGAAATGCAGTTAAGAACGATCTCCTTGTACTCTTATCCTGTGAAGAAAAAACAAATTTCAGCTAGACCACCAAACAAATCCAACTCCAATTACACGTCAAATTAGGAATTAGGGCAGGAGACTAGGGAATTGATTTTCTGGCAAACCAGGAACATGATTTTAATAGGGAGAGGAGTGAGGACCCACACCAAAAAAAACACAGTAAATGGGTCACACCATAGAGTTAGAGATTTTTTAGGTAGAAAATCAAGATATTAAATTGATAATCACCATGAATCTTTGCTGTCAAGATCATCCAACCCTTTATCCAATTTATTACCTAAGATTTGTGTTACAACAAATCATCATCATCAGTCCCAAGTCTCCAAACACAGTTTACTTGGAGGAAACAACTACCCAAAAAAATGTTGTCATCATCATCACTCTGAGTTCTGCAATTCCTGTAAAACAAATGTATAGAAAGTGAAAGAATTAATTAATCAGTGGAAAACGGCTATGGACATGATGCTCAAGCTACCCAACTTCAAACAATATGTTTTACCATTTGAAAATGAACTTTGCATTGACTACTCTATCAGCCAATTAAACCACAAAGTTACAAGAAACAACCAACACTCACATCTAATAACCATTTGATTCAATCCAACTTGCACAGTTCAAATAAGTTAGTAGAATCTCCTCCATGATCTATGTCAGGAACCTTGAATTTTGACCTGGTTACTAGTTAACCAATCCATGAGCTCCATGACCCATCACTCCATCAGCATTCTGGTCTGATTTTCTGTGCAGTCCAAGTCTGAGAACACTGTTTTGACTAGAAGCTCTGCCTTATTTTATCTTTTCTTTGTTAACCCCAAAGATATTGCTGTCACAGGACAGCAACCCAACCATGTTATTGTTGTCACAGAATCACATGACAGATGATGGACTAGGTAGGTGAGATGCTCATCTATGACTCTCTGAGTAGTAAGTGGTTCATGTGTGCTACTTCTATCAATGGTTTTGGGAATCAGAAACATTTGAACTATGAGGGTGTTGCAGAAACGATTAAAGCCAAAGACAACAATATGAATTAGACAGAATAGAACATGCAATCTTTAATGGAACACATCTTCTATTTGGTATCCCTTTTGGCTCTGGAGTAAAAATATCATAGCACAGGAGGTAGGTGTTGGAGGCAGAGGACAAAGAAGGATTTATATTAAGAATTTTCTAATAGTCTAAAAAGATCTTTAATAAGGATCTTACCAATTAGTAGCCCTTTTTTATATGATTAGTAATTCATCTATAAATTCTTCTTATATAAAAATACAAGAAATGGGATTTAGAAAACAACTGAATTTTAGTTTTTAATTCCCTGTTTTAGTGAAATTAAGAATAACTAGAGTGAGTATGACAACATTTAAGACACATTCAAAGAAACAGAGCAATTAACAAGGCAAAATTCCTAAGAATGCAATGGATAGTTCACTAAAACTAATCAATCATGTTATCTGAAAAAAAAGCAGTAAATTAAAAAGTATATTACTGTTGCAATTCTAGAATGACCACTGAACAATAACTGAAAACTCTCCACTCGTGTTCCACTTCTAGCCCCACATATCTAGCTGACCCTCCTTGACTGGTCTATCTTTTAAGACCTGCAAAACCTCACAAACAAAGCCCAGCTCCCAATCAAAGAAGACTTGCAAAATTTAGGAACCCACACAGTACCACCACCTTCCATCACTACACATCCAGCCAGATAATAATCCTTACATTCAGCTAGTCTTATTGGACTGGCCCAATCCAATCCAATCTTATTGGACTATTCAACCTGGACTGGATTGGACTAGTATAATCCACATGAAAAATAATTCACATAGAACACCCCCTTCATCTTTCAATTTTGGAAACAACACATGCACACCCAATCTATTTTCAAACCAGATGGTTGTCATTTGTTTTTGGAACTCACATAAAAAATAATTCACATAGAACACCCCCTTAATCTTTTTCTTTCAATATTTTGAGAATCATCTCTAGATGTTTTTAGATGCAATCCTACAATGGAATGACAAGATGGCCCATAAATTTCCTAAAACGAAAAACTGTGAATTTTATTCTGTTACAATCTCTCACTAAAAGAGAAAACCCTCTGATTCAGATAAAAATGTATCTCTATTTCTGGTTTGTCAACTGTAAAAAATGGATGTATTGCCTACTTTTTATTGCCAATCAGTGCCTGAAAAGCTTGAACAATCCAGTTTTTTTTATTTTTTTGGGTAAGCAATATCTTTATTGTAAAAAAGGATAAATACAACTAAAGAAAAGCAACACAACAACAGAAAACAAACAGACCAAGGTTACTTTTGTAKATAAATCTAGGTCTTTCACCAGAGATGCTCATGATTTGGTTCAAAAAGCAAAAGATGTGAAAGATGTTTGTAATTGGTGGAACTGAAATAGCAAACAACTGGCCGGAACAACCACTACTTAACAATCAGGCATCTTAAGTTTGAATTTTCTATAAAAAAAGAAATAGAAAACAGACCGATACTACCTAAGACAAAGCACCATTAAACATCACTAGACTGGGCACAAACACAATTAGACAACCACTTCAAAAATGAATCAAATAACAAAGTAGACTACAAGACAGAAGAGCTGTGCCATCAAGGAAGCCAACTGAGGGGTGATATATTACCTATTTCAACGATTGATTGCAGTTTACAGAAGAGAGATGGCCGTTGGAGAGAGAAAACTGGTGGACATAAAAATGTTAGAGAGAAACTGCTGGAGAGAAAAAATGTCAGAGATAGTCGCTAGTGAAGACAATACATTTTCTGCACATGCAACTCAAGCAAACTAACAGAGATAGTCGCTGACTTGCCGGTGAGAGAACCATCAGAAAAAAAGCCGTTGGAGAGAGTTCCCTTGGATAAACCCTAGGTTGGAGACTTGGAGAGTTGGAGTCTGAAGTGAAGACAATATATTCTCTGTACATGCAGCTCAAGCAAACTGACGGAGATAGTCACCGACTCGCCGGTGAGAGAACCGTCGGGAAAAAAAAAAAAAAAAAGAGCCATTGGAGAGAGTTCCCTTGGAGAAACCCTAGGCTCGAGACTTGGAGAGTTGGAGTCTGAAGTAAAATCGATCCTCAGGTGGTTTGCGGACTAATCGACTTCGTCCGTTTCGGTCCACCAATTACTTAGGACCAAAATAATACGGACCAGTCCAACCTAATGCCAAAGCATGGACCATCCAACCCGTCCAATTTAAATGCGATTTGGATGGGGTCCAACCCAAATCCGGTCCATTGACACCCCTATAGGTACCACATCCCCTTCTAACTTTGATTTAATTCAAGCAAGTTTCCCCCAACGGTACCTCAAAGATAAAATGGCAGCCCAGTGCACGAGGCTCCCACCAACGCAGGGCCTGGGGAGGGAGAGATGTACGCAGCCGTATCCCTGCACATACAGAGAGGCTGTTTCCAAGATTTGAACCCTGGTCACCCAGGTCGCAATGGAGCAACCCAACTGCTGCACCAAGGTCAAAGATAATTGACCCCAAATGAGATTGTTGATGATAAACAAGTCTAGTTTAGCCCAATCTTATCATTTCCCAGACTCTGCCAAGAGGAACTCCAGTATTCCTCACGCCCCTATAGAGGATTTTCCAACTACTTTTATCCAGATCTATTATGCATGTTTTCAACACCAACCAGTATAGGCTAAGGGCTAAAGTAATGACGGTATTGAAAGGAGCACAAAGGGCATTGAACAAGTTAATTATTGAAGGTGACTCAGGGACAGTGATTGGATGGTTGCAAAAGGATGGTGCATCTCTTTGGGCTTACAAAATAAAATCAAGAAACTCAGATGGCTAACAAGAAATATGGAAATGAGAATCTTATGGATTCAAAGAGATGCAAATAGAGTTGCTGATTCCTATTGATGGGTTGTATCTTGTACTTTTCCCCTTTATTTAATTAGTTAAATGATTGGTTATTGAACAAAAGAAAAGAACTATTAGGAGCCATTTGATAACAGCTGAAGTTGGGCAGATTACTATACCCTTGAGTATTTTATTATTTAATTATTTTATCCACTAATACAAAAGAATATAGTTCAGCAATTTCAGCGGTTACTGAATGGCCCCTTAGAATCCAGAAACACCTGTAACATCTCCCCCCCCCCAAACAAACAAACAAACAAACAAGAAAAAGAAGAAGAAGAAGAAAGATCAGTAACAATCAAAGCAATTTATAAATAACGAATAAATTATAAAAAATGCTATTACTATTTGGCATACAAAATTCAATTACCTGCTTGATGAAAAGATAAATCAAATTTGTCAGGAAGAATTATTTCATATCAAAAGAGAGAAAACAACTTATCCATACATTTTTGGTCATCAAGCAACTTACACATTCAGAACTTCATCAGCTATATATGTAAATGCAGTAAAAGAGGAGATATTTAATCTGAAAAAGTAACCATGTAACAAATAAAGCAAATGCCAAGTAGAACAAAATAAAATGATAATCAATATAAACAGAAGGCAATTATCTGAATAACTCTTTAGGAACATAATTCTTCACCAGGTTATTGAAATTTTTATGTAACTTTGCTGAAACATGACAGGTAAGCAGAATGGTATCTACTATCTAGACTAATATAAAGGACTAATACTTTTAGACCACTTAAACATGAAATTCACTGCTACGATCTAAGTTCCATAGAGATTTAAAAAGTGATGCTAGTAGATTCTAATAATAAAAAATATATATAACAAAAACAAGGCAATTATCAATTTCCACCACCAGCATGCCCCAACTGAACAAAAGTAATTAATGATAAATTTCACTTAAGGGGAACAAATTAGATAATATCATCTGAAAAAGTAAAAAAAAAAAAAAACAGAAAGCACAAGACACACACTGGATCAGAAAAAAAAAAATCTTAAAAGAACTACAAGGCAGAGAGCAGACCAACATGACATACTTCAAAGTTTTTTTTTTATTTTTTATTTTTATTTTATGATTAGTCATACTTCAAAGTTTAGAATTCAGATTAAATTTTCAATTAGAAACAAAATTAAAACAAGGGCATATTGCAACCCATTCCAGGGAAGATAAACAGAAATACCACCTTCTCCTGTTTAATGTTGAACCACCAAGAAGGCCATCAAAAGAATTTTCTGCTTCTCGAAAACAAATCACCATCCTCACATCCAATTGCTTCACTTGATCCTTCACCAATTCTTTTTTTATCAATAAAGGATAAACTGTAACTAATGTCTAAAAACGAAAATAAAATAAAATAAAATAAAACAATTGTTACAGAGGATGAGGGAACACGCTCCACAATCAACAATGGCTCCTATACAATTATCATTGACTCAGCCAAAAACTATTACATAAGGATGAAGCAA